AAAAAAAAAAAAAAAAAAAAAAAAAAACACATAAAATTCAGGCATTAAATCACCACAGAACAAAAAAAAAAGTCTGCCTTTTCAGTAAAAGTTTGAACACTTAGAGCAAAACATTAGGAACAGAAAATTGGTCAACAGTTGTCTTAAATAAAAGTCAGTTTGGGAGGATTATCTATACAACCACTTTTTTTTTTTGTAATTTAAAACCTGGTTACAAACTCCCCCAACAATCCACATGAAGATACAATGATTTGCCCATAAATGCAAAATTAGTCTGTAAAACTGCAGTGGGATTCCATGAACTGTAAAAAGAAACTGAAGTTCCAAGAGGAGTTTTGGAAGACTTTACATCAACACAGTCGTTTTGTACAAGTGAGAAAACATCTTGCCTCGGACAGGGCCACAGGTAACAGATGGTGGTAATGAGGAAGCTTATTTTTATGCTGACTACTAATCTTAAAAAACCAAAACAAAAACAAAAAACAAAACAAAAAAAAACACCAAAAAGCCACCAAACAAACCTTATTTTTATGCTGACTACTAATCTTAAAAAACAAAAACAAAAAACAAAACAAAAAAAACACCAAAAAGCCACCAAAACCAAACACCAAACCAAAAAACCAAAACAAACAACTTCGAATAAATGCTGATCCAAATAGGTATGCACAGAGAAGAAAAAAAGAAAAAAAAAGCGCGTATTTCTAACACACAACATTGTGACCCTAACATTTACCTATCTTTCCAAAACACAAGAAAAGCATTTACACTTGAGAAAGCTTGGATACATTGTTTTGAAAAGAGGATTTCCCCATTTTAAGCAAGCTCTCCAAATCCACCTTACTTTTAAGAGTAACAGATTTCAGCAGCTCTCTCTTCAACGTGTCTCTGTTCCCGTCTCAGCCTAACACCTCACTGCTCCCTCCTTTTCTCCCCTCTACTCAAACTACAAAGGGTGACTTTGGTGGTGGCTCCAAAGATAGGCATGTGAAAAAGTACAGAAGATATGACACGTTTCTAATGGACTATGCAGACTAGAGGAATTCCCACAATACTTACAATTTTGATGGCTACGTATTGAAAAATAACATTTGCACATGCATTACAATTTCCCAATCATAAATATAGGAAGGGGAAAAAATTAGTTCTTACAGTCAAAGTTGAACACAGTGACAATTTTACCCTCCTTTCAATTTGACCTAAAGGAATATTCAAAGCAGAATCCACAGTCACTGGATAAGTATTAGGTGGATATTTAACACTAAGTCGTTTGCCCAACTCCTGAACACAAAGCCATCAGCATGTTCCAATGCTGTTCACAGTAACTTTGTTTCCTTTAACCAGTGTGCTGTTCCATCAATTTATAGAAACAGACAATGCAAGTGGGAAAGAAAAGGCATAAAATATACAAAAGTCATAAACTATGAAAGTTCACGTACCCCAATAAAACTAGACTATATACTGAAGAAAACTCTCACTATGTAAGTTTTGATCTGTAATCATCCACTGGAAAAATTCTGCAGTGAGGACTTCATCAAAATTCCCTGTCTTCAGCAGTGTATGAGGAATGTATTATTTCCACCTCTGGAAAACCTAGGTAACATTTTAGGGAGATTCTCCCAACATTGCCTTGGTGTTGCACCACTTTAACAAACTTAAGATAGGCAACAATAACATCTATATGTTTTCGATCTCTCCCATTGCTTCTCTCTCACCTCCCCCGTATCCTATTGCTACTCCAAAGATCACCTTCACTGTCTCATTCTGGGTGCAAAATCCATTTTTCTCCTTTCAGAAATGCATCTCCAGCTTCTGAGTGGACTGCAACAAATAAGAGTTTTATCTGTCTTCCAATTGTTTGTCTCCACATCAAGATCAGCCTCATATACCTATCTGTATCTTTTTCCACAGTGATCTCCATTTATATCCTCTGCCAGTCATGCAAGTTGTCTGAGCTTTGCCGCCTACACTGCATCTGCTTAAGAGTTACTAACATTATTTTCTGTACAATTCCAGCCTCATCTAATTACTGCAATAAAATCCATCCATAGTTTTCATCCCTATATTGCCATAGAGAAGCCACAGCACAAGTTTTTTCACCAAGCTGAGAGAGAAAATACAGTGGTGAGGGGACAGACTAGTAAAAGGAAGCATCTTCTCCATCTACTAAATAGAGACAACTAAGCCATTACACGAGCTTCTTGATGCAACAAATGCAATCCTCCACTATTTGCCTGCATCTGTGCACTTGCCGAAACGTACACGACTCTGCTCAGCAGTTAGAGGTGACCTCAGCCTTCGTACTGCTTCAGCTTCCCATGACATTCTCACACACACCATGTTCCTTGTCCGACGCTAATACACGCTATCATAAAGAAGAAAGCCATTCCCAAAAATAAGGTGGAAAGTCTAACGAGCTGCTACACATCATGGTTTTAATGAAGAAAAAGCATTCTAAACTTTTTTGCCCATCCTCTTCATGCAGCCAGGTCCTGTGTTCATCTTCCAGACTCCCACTGTGAGACTAACCACTCCTCAGCAAGAGCTGTTTCCTGTCATAGAGATCACTAGCATTTGGATTTATACTTGAGCTCAGCTTTCAACTACTGTCCTCTTTCCTTTAATAAATTTCAGACATTTAGATGAAACTCACACTGACTGTGTTGGCATCGTGATTTCAGCCTCTTCCTTTGCTACTCTACTCTACCACCATACAGACAAGAGGGACTGATAAAATATCTGAGATTTAGACATTCCTGAAATGCCAACAAGAGGAGAAAGTAAGTCTGTATTAATGTAATTCACTTAAAAAGAATATAACCATTAGAGTTATTTCCTCATGACAGCAAAACTGATAATGAAAAACAGGTAAGAAGTTGATTTGTGGGAGGAGAATGGTTGGACTAGAAGTCTTTTTTTAACAAAAAGTCTTCCTGATATCCACTGCAGCACACACATCTATTACCTTATACTTGCATTTCTCTTTATGGTTTGCAGTAAGATAATCCCAGCCAAAATGCAAAGCACAGGATGGTCTGAATATTGTAAAAGTCTTAGAATCTGACACGCAAAATAAGGCTATCCATCAGCTACTTCCACAAGCAAAGCCCTCTTCTGAGGGGCAGTAGCCAACACAGGATTTTTCATAACAAAAATTAAAGTTAGAAAAAGTCTTTTATCTCTCGGCAATTCCAAAGAAGCTGGAGTAAAATAATTCAACTTGGTTTTGACAAACAAGCTTGTATTCCTTGCCATTCTTCATTCTCCAGTAACTAGAAGGGCAAGGCAAAGATGATGTATGAAGCTGTACTTTATCATTAATAATTTATTAATCCGTACTTTCTAATCCCCTCATTCTACTCCCCTCATTTACAGTAAACAAAGAAAACTTGCTTAATAACTTGAAAAGCTAATCTCATGCAAAGGTTTTGAGTTGTACATATTGCAATACATCAGAAGATGCAATAATAAACGACAAGCATACTAAAACAAATCTGCTTTTTCCTCAATTGTTCTTGCACTTCATTTGCTGATCTTTTTTACTAGCTTTCCACAGCTACACATTAATCACCTGTCTTAAGGTGATATTCAGTACCATGAAAAGAAGCCAGTAAAACTGGTCTGAAGACCTATGTTGGTTCCAAATTTTAACCATGGCTCAAGCCTGTGATAGCATTATGAAGGCAACTATATATACAAAAAACCTCAGTTACATTCTTAATTCCACTATTTGTTTGTCCAATGACTTATTATTTTAATGTACAGCAAGCACTGAAGAGCTTAATGTTTCCTACCTGGCCTAGGTTTACTAAGCATACTGCAATAAATAATACCTTCCAGATCTTCACGCACCACTAGAAATTATTCTTCCCATTCCTGCATAGAATTTATTCAGTTCTTGAACTGGGACACATTTTTGCTCCTTCCTGAAGGGCTCACCTGAAGTCTGATGATGATCAGTAGAAGCACTTGCTA